GTTAGAAGTGTATTGTCTGAAAACATTATTAATACTAATAAAGAAAAGACAAAGTTGAAATATGTTGTCCGAAACGTACTTTTCTCTAATGTCCTACAAAGATTTCTAGAAATTTCCATTATTTTTTTTTACTACCATAAAAAGAATGATCGATATTGACAAATCGGTGAATCTCTCTACTGCAAAATGCCAAGGTACTGTATCTGCCTTCCAACAAGACTTTATTATACAAAATCAATTAAGCAATATATTTCTTATATTAATATATTGACTTACTCCTTAATATTAAACGTATCTCGATTAGGACATGATTAGGCAATGTAATTGCATCTCAGTTCTTAATAAAGAAATCTGTGTGCGACACCAAAATTCCACATGAAACACAAGATTTTAAGGCTGATGACTGGCTGAAAACGTCATACGGACAGTCACGTTACTGTAACTGATGTTATAAAAACTCTGATTAGCCGATCATCCCGTGATTTGAGAAATATCTTCGGGCGCCCGAGCGCGCAATCGGCAAAAAAATCTTTCGCGCTGCTTGGCTTATTCAGTTAAGTAATTTTCGTTCCGCAAAAGTAGAAGTAATAGCGTTAACGGTACCCTACGTCTCTATGGCCTTTTGCCCCATTTGCCGATGCTTGGAGGAGTAGTGTTTGCAGTATATATCGTTATGACTCGTTACATGACTATTTTGTAACGGCTCTTAGCGCCAACGCCTGGACCTCTCTTCCAGTGTACTTAACAATATCAGTACCCTACGTCTCTATGACCTTTTGCCCCATTTGCCGATGCTTGGAGGAGTAGTGTTTGCAGTATATATCGCTATGACTCGTTACATGACTATTTTGTAATGGCTCTTAGCGCCAACGCCTGGACCTCTCTTCCAGTGTACTATATTGTTAGACGCACGATAATAATATTCGCTTTCATCATAATTACTTCCAGATAACTAACAATGCATCTTTTTAGATACGGACTTTTACCAACAGATTTTAACTTATATATTGGGCTCTGAATATAAGGATTGGAATGTTCTAAGCTGCCTCAACTACCTGAAGGATCATTCTCACATACAGTTTACTTCCGATAGTAAACAAGAAATCTTAGACGCGTTTATAATTGCCTTTGGGAAGATTAATGAGTCTGATATTGTAAAATCTAGGACAACGACCAAGGCGTGAAAATTTACTACACGGTAATGTGTAAGTACCATGAGCATAAGATTTTTTGGTCGTAGAGTTGTTATGCTTCGTAACTTGCTGACTCCCCGTCTCCTTAGTTGTTTCAATTAGTATCTTTTGCGTTGCCAATGTCGAGTGCCACAGCTCAACGACTACTTTCATTTGATGGCTGGGAAACCGCCTTAGATCCCAAGAATATCTCTCTTTTATCTATACTGAAGTTTCGTCAAACGAAAGATGATTTTATTTATGATGCACATGAAGAAAACTTCGCGATATCCAAGTTTCTGACTGATATAGCCCAAACTATCACTGATACTGACACAGAATGGGTTACTGCTATCAACCTTGTGACAGTAAAGGCAAGTATGAATCGTTATGTATTAGTATGGCAAGAAGAGTGAGGAGGAGATAGGAAGGAGTCGGGCTACGTGTCGATGCAACCACCTAAGCAGCCTGGGTACGTCTCAAGCCGTTATGGGGTACGTCTCCGGTGGGCTCCCTCTAAGCTATGATCTCCTACCAGACACCTGGCTACGAGTCAGGATGTTTTGTGGGTACGTCTCCGGTAGGGCTCCTCCAAGCTCAGTTAATTTTTCCTCTCTTTTTCACAAAGAATGAAGCAAGAAGAAAAGATGTAAAACAGTTTTGGCAGACGTCAATATTAATACGGCCCATCAATTGTCATAACAGTCATCGACCGCGGTAACACACATTCTTTCTGTCGGTCCACGTAATCTATGTGAAAATGGTCTTTGTGAATTTTCATTTAATAATCTGTTTCTCCTAGTTTGCGACATCACAATCAATGCCATACCTAACGTATGGACGAATATAGCGGGCTGTTTCCGTATCTCCAATCAAGGGGCAATGACACTCGGTAGACAAGATGGCTGCTGTTGTTAGAATATTTGACTGTATTGCCGAAGGAAATTTCGACCGCCATTTTCGCTGGTAACTACAACGGAGTGTTGGCTAATGGGGTGTATCAGTGTATGAATTTATATTTACGTGACTTGTTGATTCAGGGCAAGCGTGCAAAAGGAAATTACGGATGTGGTTCCATTGGTAATGTCGACATTACAATCTTTTCTTGTTCAAACGATCAATCGCCAACGAAGTATTCTGTTAAGGCAAAAGAGCCTTTGGCGTTCGGTAATGTACGACGTGCAATTTTGAGTAAGTTTTCCGAAAATCCCAGGCTGCGCAAGGTTGATTATTAGATTTACTTTGTTGACAAAACGTCGTATTTAATTTGTAGGCCTCTCCTGTCATTGATTAGTAATGTTATGGAATTATTTTCATGTTATGTGAAGAAACACATAAATCAGCAACAGAAGTATTAATTCAGTTCTTAAATCAGTTGTCAGTAACTTTAATTCAAGATACTGTCTGCGATTACGTTTACTAGTGAATAGATAAAATCAAGAGTTTTAGTGGTAGGGAAGACATAATACTCTACGTTACATACTTATCGTCGTGACAACGATAATGCTTATTAACTGATTCTTTCTATCTTCTGTAGAATCCGGTGAAGACACGGTAAAGGATATATGCCGTCTTATGACAGAGTTTGGCAAAATTTTCCCTAACCACATTGCCAAATGCTTGACTCCGTTTGGAAATGTGCTTACATTCCCGTTTATATTTATTATGCTCGACAGGAGATATCCTTTGCTTTTATCTTCAGTCAATGTATTGATCTTAATTAGTGGAACTTTGTAACACCAGTTTATTAACACACTGGCGAAAAGACGCTTGAATTCTGGGCCCAACCTATTCAATCCAACTCACAATGATATTGTTGGCTTTGATAATGTTGCGTCTAAGCAATCACCCCTCCGAACAAATATTAGCAAGGGACATTATCATATGAAGAAGCCCAGAAAATCAAACAAGCAGCAGTTATACTGTTTCAAAGGTTAATTGAAATATTGAGAGTAAAGCTGCAACTGCTTACCAGAAGATTGTAAGTTGGACTTTTCTTTTGCAAATAATAAGCATAATTGTCATTTATTAGAGATGAAGCCAAAGTTTAGATCCCATCGCCGAGCCCCTACGCTGCTTAGGCGATTTATATAACCTTTTAGTTGATTGTTATCCTCGCTAACGCTACCTCCTACATAGTGCATCATCAATGCCACCTTTTTCCCCTTATTATTTCCTGGGCTGAGCTCAATATGTATTTTTCTTTCCAATCCCTTTCCCTCGATCAATCTTCATGTCATCCTTCACACACCCGGTGCATTATCATGCCAGCCAAACCAGTACGTGCCATAAAACTGTGTACGACTCTTCCAAGGGAAAAGGCTAAAATTATTGTGCCGATCACCGTTATTACTTAATAATACTGTAATAAGATATAGCAACTATTAACGAAAGGTAGTAACCTTTTACTAACGAGCATCGGTATCAATGAAAGAGACTTTTATTCATTACATTTCATTGTATGTAGGAAAGCAGAACTGTTATTATAACATACTGACACACTGTCACCAGACCACTCATTCAACGTCTACAATAAAATAATATCAAAATATGAATTAATTATCATCAGTTAAAAACATATACAGTATGCACTGAGTGCATATGATATACTATCATTTGCCGGTATTGGTTTTCCAACTTACACAATGCTGCCAATAAATCAGATCCGATTCCGAGTAAACTCAGTTTGGTCGTAGCTCTCTCGCCT